ATCTTCCACCGTACCTCAGCATTACAGATCTTCCACCGTACCTCAGCATTACAGATCTGCCACCGTACTTCAGCAGGACAGATCTGCCACAGATCTGCAATATAGATCTGCCACCGTAGATCAGCACTGGGTTTGAGGTGCTTTTATTAGGCATAATTGAGACAAACCCTGAGTTCTAAATTAGTCTTTAATGGAGTTAAATTGGACTGTTGACTTGAAGTTGTTCAGGCTTCTTCATTGAAAAGCTGTCTGTTTTAAAAACAGAAACTTTAATAGGTAACTTTAATAATAGGTTTTCAGTTTGCTTTCACCTTAAACAGATTGGCTACATCTTTTACCGCTATAATAAACTAAACTGACAATAATATTGAATCATCCTTTTAAAAGTAAAGACATTTTCTTTATAATATGCTTGTAATGTTTGTGAAAATAATAACCAACCAGCAGCTTTTAGCCGATCCTAATGTTCCTGCTGGTTTGGTGGAACAGAAAATGGCTTCCATTCCTGCCTCTTTCAACTGACTGGTATTTAGATGCTGTGTTGGCATCCTGGAGACCCCAACATGTCACTTCCTGCTTTACTTTATCAACAGGGGCATTAAAGTACTTTTTATCAACCTCTTAGCTGAGACATTTTTTCCAAGCTTATCTTTGAGTTTTAGACATCAGCACACATCTAGTGGGAGTTCTGAGTTTTAGTCCCATTCCCAAAGACTGCCACTCTGGCTCCCTGAGCAAGACCCTTTACCCCCACACTGCTTGTTCTCTTGTGCCAGTGGTAAGAGTGTTTTTAGCGTACCTGAGTGTTTCTGATTACCTGATCCTGACCTGTTCTGCCTCTCAACCCCTGAGCCTGACTGTTAGGTTTGCCTTAACTGTCTTCGGACTTCTGGAGCTCTGAACTTTCCTGTTCTGATCTGTTTGCCTGACCTGGCTTCGGACTCCTGCTTGTTCTCCGTTCTCCGGTGTAGTGAGCAAGACCCTTAACCCCACACTGCTCCCCGGGTGCCGCACAATGGCAGCCCACTGCTCCCCAAAGGGATGGGTTAAATGCAGAGGTAAATTTCTCCAATGTGAGATCAGTAAAATAAATTATTATAATTATATCTGTCTCATCTCAGTGTCTGGTAACACTGTGTTTCGCATTTTGATGACTTTCAAACTGGCCTTCGTTCTAAGAGATTTTTAGACTCTACAGAAATAGGAAGAATTAAATTACAATTTACAAGGCAATTTTAATTTCAGTATCGTTAGAAAAGTATTAATTCTGTATGTTGGATTTTTAACGCTTTTTTTCATGTCAGGCTTTGTGATTTAAAAATTCTCCTTAATCAGAGATTCCCCTTTTCTGTCTGCTGCTGCATTAACAGATACATTTTTAATGCTTTTGACACAAATTTATCAGGTTTTTAATATTAATAGAAGGACCAGTAGTTCAGTGTTGGAAACATCCAACATAATCACGATGACTTTAATTGATTATGCTCCTAAATTAATTCAGATCAGCTCTTAAATTCTGCTGCATTGACTTTGCTGTTAGGCTTGGAGGGAAAACCACCACAGATTGAAGTACGCCAGAAAACCTCAAACCAAAACACGAAGCATTTTCCACCTTTTCAAGTCTGCATCAGCGATCCCATGAGTCAAGTTTCCTCTTCCCCAAACCCAAATCTGAATAAATAATTTAGAGGTAAACTGGCACAAGAAGAAGTAAACTTTAAGAAGAGTGCAGAAGTGAATCTGAGGAAACCTACTGTTTTCAGAAACCTCCAGGATATAACGTATGAGAGGACTGTTGCCATCGAAAGGCTTGGCCCAGGCCAGGTCGATGGCTCTTTTTTCAGACTTGCTCAGCATGGCCGTGGGGTTCTCCGGGGCATGGGGAAGCTGCCTGCACGGAGGGAGAGATCAGAGGACAACTTTGATAAATAAAAGAAATCTGTCTACCAGAGCAGTTTGCTAGGCAGCCGAAATCTCCCGCAGACCCTGAACAGAGAGTCAAACCTTTCGCAACAGAGACATCTGTTCAAAAAGGTGATGAAATGTGACATGACAGCACGGCAAAGACGATTCCTTGTCAAGATGGACATGCAGGCAAACAAAGCGAGGTGGATATTATCAGAGAACTAGTAGGGAAATGGAATGAAAGATAATAGGATAAGGATAGCAGGGAAATGCAAAGACAAAGCTGTGAATAAATGAGACTAAAGCTGAGGATCATTAACTCATTTAGGCATAAATTCAGATAAGCGGAGACAGATTGATATGTAAACCTGAAAGCGACGAATGGAGGGTACCTCTGACTAAAGACAGCAGGGGAGACAGTGGAGGGATGAAGATAGAAACAGTCACATTCATATTCAATTTAACCTTACTGCAGTCGGCCAGCGGTGAAATGATGAGGAACGATAAAACTTTAAAGAATAATAAAGTGCAGAGGTGTTTGTCTAAGAAGGGGAGGAAAAGGAAGAGATGGGAGAGGGGGGTCACCAGGGGCTGGGAGAGTGTCAGGTGAGAATGAGGACAAGGGAGGTGAGGAAGAGAAGGCGTCATTTAAGTGGAAATGTGTCAGAGGTGTGGATAAGAACAGGCAGGACAGCGGGGCGCAGAGGATATGTTCCTTTCTGCTACCTTACATCAAAGAAATTTGGAGACAAGTGTGTGAAGGAGAATAGATAAGGGAAGAGCAGAAGATGGAGGGGTTTACCTGACACGGAGGTGAGCGCTGCGAGAGTCGTTGCCTCCGACCGAGTTGACTCTGCATGTGTACGTGCCGATGTCACCCGACCAGGTCTGGGAAATGTGCAGGGTGCCGTCGGCGTCCAGGCGCATGCGGGGGATTGAATGAACATTGATCGCCGAACCGTCTTTTTCCCAGACATGCCTGAAAAACAGAGGCTGGAATGTTACGCGCCTGACAAAGTTAAAAATCATACATCAAAATGTGGAGGTTCATAAACTCCTTGTTATTTATTTGTTTGTTGCTCGATTATTACAAAAGATATATTAAACAGGCTTTAAAGGTGAATAACGACATAATATATTTAATTCTGATCAAATTAGGTTATGTTTGCCAAGCATCCATCATGATAGCGTTTAGCTATTTGCATTTTGACCCTAAATAGAATTCCAGCACCGGGTGCAGAGAGCTGACATAAATAAATAGAGACAATAAATAGAGACAACAGAGCTATCAGTCCTTTTTTGTTTTGTGCATATCTGTTCTGTATGGAGGACCAACTCTGCCATATTTAAAAATAAATACATAAATAAATAAATGCTCAATAAATATATAAGCATACAATTAATTGCCAACAAAAACACAATCAACAAATAAAGTAAGTAGAGATTAAATTATACAGTGAAACATAAATGTATATAACTCTTTTAATTAGCTTCTTTATTTATTTGCCTTTGTAATATTTACCTTATTTATTCTTTTGTTCTTTATGTTTTTTTTTTTACATTTCTGCAGCCCGTCTGCAGCGGCCCTCTCTCGGCATAGCCGTGTGTGAAGGACCGCTGGCTATGATGGCGATTTTTTGTTGTATTTGGCAAAGTCCCTACTCACGTTCTAATGACTTCAGACTCAACATCAGACTCTCCTCCTGTAGATTCGACCAATAGTAAAATGCTAACCAACACGCTTCACACATGGCTATGCCGAGAGAGGGCCGCTGCAGACGGGCTGCCGTTAGCTTCGGAGCTCCGCTGGTGCCACGGTCCTCTCAAGTTCGGAACATTTTCTTTTAAATTACGCATTAAATCTGTGAATGGTCCATATGGTGATGCTTAAAAGTATAATGTTCCAGCCTCAAATAATCTTAAAATGTACTTTTTTATTGAACAACAGCAACAGAAAAGAGAACATTTAACTTAGTACTCTGAGCTCTGTGAGTTAAGAAGATGGACCGCCAACCAATGAGCAGAAGTTGACTCTCTAGGACACGCCCCCTCCTCATTTGCATAATGAGACAAAAATGCATACAGAAATGTAAAAAGGGCATAGAGAAATGTAAAAAGGGCAGGCAGAAATGTAAAAAAATATATAAAGGACAAAAAAATTAATAAGGTAAATATTACAAAGGCAAATAAATAAAGAAGCTAATTAAGAGAGTTATATACATTTATGTCTCACTGTATAATTTAATTTCTACTTTTGTTTTTGTTGGCAATTAATTGTATGCTTATATATTGATTGAGCATTTATTTATTTTTGTATTTATTTTTAAATATGGCAGAGTTGGTCCTCCATACTTCTGGCAGCACAACTTAAATATGAGCACCGTACTGTCCTGCTTTGCCAAAGGAGGATTGATGGGTAAAAAGTTCCCCTTGATACTAAATACAGCTTCATTTTTTTTTTTTTTTTTTTTTTTTTTTNTGGGTTTGAGGTGCTTTTATTAGGCATAATTGAGACAAACCCTGAGTTCTAAATTAGTCTTTAATGGAGTTAAATTGGACTGTTGACTTGAAGTTGTTCAGGCTTCTTCATTGAAAAGCTGTCTGTTTTAAAAACAGAAACTTTAATAGGTAACTTTAATAATAGGTTTTCAGTTTGCTTTCACCTTAAACAGATTGGCTACATCTTTTACCGCTATAATAAACTAAACTGACAATAATATTGAATCATCCTTTTAAAAGTAAAGACATTTTCTTTATAATATGCTTGTAATGTTTGTGAAAATAATAACCAACCAGCAGCTTTTAGCCGATCCTAATGTTCCTGCTGGTTTGGTGGAACAGAAAATGGCTTCCATTCCTGCCTCTTTCAACTGACTGGTATTTAGATGCTGTGTTGGCATCCTGGAGACCCCAACATGTCACTTCCTGCTTTACTTTATCAACAGGGGCATTAAAGTACTTTTTATCAACCTCTTAGCTGAGACATTTTTTCCAAGCTTATCTTTGAGTTTTAGACATCAGCACACATCTAGTGGGAGTTCTGAGTTTTAGTCCCATTCCCAAAGACTGCCACTCTGGCTCCCTGAGCAAGACCCTTTACCCCCACACTGCTTGTTCTCTTGTGCCAGTGGTAAGAGTGTTTTTAGCGTACCTGAGTGTTTCTGATTACCTGATCCTGACCTGTTCTGCCTCTCAACCCCTGAGCCTGACTGTTAGGTTTGCCTTAACTGTCTTCGGACTTCTGGAGCTCTGAACTTTCCTGTTCTGATCTGTTTGCCTGACCTGGCTTCGGACTCCTGCTTGTTCTCCGTTCTCCGGTGTAGTGAGCAAGACCCTTAACCCCACACTGCTCCCCGGGTGCCGCACAATGGCAGCCCACTGCTCCCCAAAGGGATGGGTTAAATGCAGAGGTAAATTTCTCCAATGTGAGATCAGTAAAATAAATTATTATAATTATATCTGTCTCATCTCAGTGTCTGGTAACACTGTGTTTCGCATTTTGATGACTTTCAAACTGGCCTTCGTTCTAAGAGATTTTTAGACTCTACAGAAATAGGAAGAATTAAATTACAATTTACAAGGCAATTTTAATTTCAGTATCGTTAGAAAAGTATTAATTCTGTATGTTGGATTTTTAACGCTTTTTTTCATGTCAGGCTTTGTGATTTAAAAATTCTCCTTAATCAGAGATTCCCCTTTTCTGTCTGCTGCTGCATTAACAGATACATTTTTAATGCTTTTGACACAAATTTATCAGGTTTTTAATATTAATAGAAGGACCAGTAGTTCAGTGTTGGAAACATCCAACATAATCACGATGACTTTAATTGATTATGCTCCTAAATTAATTCAGATCAGCTCTTAAATTCTGCTGCATTGACTTTGCTGTTAGGCTTGGAGGGAAAACCACCACAGATTGAAGTACGCCAGAAAACCTCAAACCAAAACACGAAGCATTTTCCACCTTTTCAAGTCTGCATCAGCGATCCCATGAGTCAAGTTTCCTCTTCCCCAAACCCAAATCTGAATAAATAATTTAGAGGTAAACTGGCACAAGAAGAAGTAAACTTTAAGAAGAGTGCAGAAGTGAATCTGAGGAAACCTACTGTTTTCAGAAACCTCCAGGATATAACGTATGAGAGGACTGTTGCCATCGAAAGGCTTGGCCCAGGCCAGGTCGATGGCTCTTTTTTCAGACTTGCTCAGCATGGCCGTGGGGTTCTCCGGGGCATGGGGAAGCTGCCTGCACGGAGGGAGAGATCAGAGGACAACTTTGATAAATAAAAGAAATCTGTCTACCAGAGCAGTTTGCTAGGCAGCCGAAATCTCCCGCAGACCCTGAACAGAGAGTCAAACCTTTCGCAACAGAGACATCTGTTCAAAAAGGTGATGAAATGTGACATGACAGCACGGCGAAGACGATTCCTTGTCAAGATGGACATGCAGGCAAACAAAGCGAGGTGGATATTATCAGAGAACTAGTAGGGAAATGGAATGAAAGATAATAGGATAAGGATAGCAGGGAAATGCAAAGACAAAGCTGTGAATAAATGAGACTAAAGCTGAGGATCATTAACTCATTTAGGCATAAATTCAGATAAGCGGAGACAGATTGATATGTAAACCTGAAAGCGACGAATGGAGGGTACCTCTGACTAAAGACAGCAGGGGAGACAGTGGAGGGATGAAGATAGAAACAGTCACATTCATATTCAATTTAACCTTACTGCAGTCGGCCAGCGGTGAAATGATGAGGAACGATAAAACTTTAAAGAATAATAAAGTGCAGAGGTGTTTGTCTAAGAAGGGGAGGAAAAGGAAGAGATGGGAGAGGGGGGTCACCAGGGGCTGGGAGAGTGTCAGGTGAGAATGAGGACAAGGGAGGTGAGGAAGAGAAGGCGTCATTTAAGTGGAAATGTGTCAGAGGTGTGGATAAGAACAGGCAGGACAGCGGGGCGCAGAGGATATGTTCCTTTCTGCTACCTTACATCAAAGAAATTTGGAGACAAGTGTGTGAAGGAGAATAGATAAGGGAAGAGCAGAAGATGGAGGGGTTTACCTAACACGGAGGTGAGCGCTGCGAGAGTCGTTGCCTCCGACCGAGTTGACTCTGCATGTGTACGTGCCGATGTCACCCGACCAGGTCTGGGAAATGTGCAGGGTGCCGTCGGCGTCCAGGCGCATGCGGGGGATTGAATGAACATTGATCGCCAAGCCATCTTTTTCCCACACATGCCTGGAAAACAGAGGCTGGAATGTTACGCGCCTGACAAAGTTAAAATCATACATCAAAATGTGGAGGTTCATAAACTCCTTGTTATTTATTTGTTTGTTGCTCCATTATTACAAAGTATATATTAAACAGGCTTTAAAGGTGAATAACGACATTATATATTTAATTCTGATCAAATTAGGTTATGTTTGCCAAGCATCCATCCTGATAGCGTTTAGCTATTTGGACTTTAAGCCTAAATAGAATTCCAGCACCGGCTGCAGAGAGCTGACATAAATAGATGTGGCGCCACCTGCTGGCAGACAACAGAGCTGTTAGAAATATTTTATTTCTACTCTTACTTTGTTTCTGTTTCATGGGTTGTGTTCTAATGAACTATTATGATGTATAATGTGTGATTCATCTTTTATTAACTCTTGCTTAAGATTGTTCCAGATAAAGGTCATGCAACGGACGGGTTGTAAAAGAGACTTGAACAGCCTCTATCACATGTTTCTTCTAAACATGTGTTCTTGGAACAATTCAATTGTAAAACAACCAGATGCTTTGGTTTGACATATGTGCTGAGCTTTTAGTAAGATCCTTTTGTTTCCCTTCCCCTTAGTTAAACCTCAGCTGGTGTAATTAGGGACATCCCCTTTTCTTCAATAAATAGCAAGGAGAAAGCTGAAGACTGCAGAGTAGGGTGGAGATTGTAAACTCGGCAGTCTCTTCCTACTCTCCTCGTGAGTAACTAAATTAATTGT